CAGAAATGATTGCGGATACTTGTTCTTCAATCAAGACAGCCTTTTCTCACTCATACCCACAGGCATATCCAGGCACTTTGGCTTTTGCCCTGTTGCAAATGTTACAAAATTTTTTTTAGCTCTGCTAAAATATCCAGAAGCACTTCAGGATGCTTCAACCTGAAGGGGCTCAGCTGCATCTCTGCGGGTCCGAAAATCTAGCTCCACAGACAAGTACCTGGAGGCAACTTACTCAACCAGGAAGGTTCCTGCCCAAAGTTATACAGCTTTCTTACTCCATGAGCCAGGAATCCCACTACACCATCTCCTGCTAGTCCCCTGGTGATGCTGCCTCTGCTTATTGGCCACTGCTACTCACTGTCTCTTACCATCTCTGGTGTCACAGCTGTTTCCTGGATTGGAGAGGTTCAGCACAGGAATCTCAGGCCTAAAGGATGCTCCACTTCTGGCTCTTCTTTCTCCTGTTCTACCTATGGGATGCCTCATTTTAAGCCAAAAGGGATTACAAAACTGACCAATCCTCATATTAAGGTTCTGTACACCTTATTTGTATGGTCCCATTCCTACAAAGGCTCCATAGCCCTTATTTACATCATTAGCCAGCTTTCCAATCCAATGGGTGTGCTGATGCACTTTACATTTGCATAGCCCTGTCTAGTTCATCTGTAGGAGCTACAAAAATGATAAAAGACTGCATCAAGTAATTCACTGAATCATAACTGTTAAGTGAAAAACATAGCTTATCAAACAGTGCTATATTATAATCCTACTTGCTCGTTATCTGTTATCTATCAAGCCACCCAGAACTTAGTTGCATAAAACAACACTATTATTTTTGCTCTTTTAGGTCTTTGGATGAACTAATCTCAGTTGGTCATCTCTTAATGAGGGACTCATAGAACTACAGTCAGATATACTCAAGAAATCAAATGATGCATTGCACTGGGCAAGTCTGCTGCAAATGACCTCTTCAAAGTATTCAAAAGCGAAGATGTGACTTTGAGGATTAAGGTGT